AAACAAACACACTAAACAAGAGGGGCACTCGGAGCATACCTCCGCCACGCAGCTTTGATCATATTCGGCTCTAAAAAAATACGAAAATGTATCCGTATGTCCGTCGTTATCAACGAACACGGACCATTTATGGCAGGACAGAGAGGAATAACGTTCTACATATGTCCACCAAGATTCATCAGTATCCAATCATGTTTGACTGAGTTATAGAACAAAATTAGTTTGTAAAATCTGTCCCCAAGTTAAAAATAGAGATTTTTTGGATTTTCGTGATGTTGCTATAACCTTGACCTTTGACTCGAAAGGCTAATCAGTTCTAAGTTGGATCATAGTCCAAATGTATACCAACTTTCGTACAAATCCATTCCCCCGTTTTCGAGAAATCTTGCTGCCAAGCATACACATACATAAGGGTGAAAACAGCCTCGGTTCACATTCGGTAGCGGAGGTATTACATATTCTGAATGATAGATTTATTACGCCTTAAAAAAGAATGACAGGCTGGAAATTTTGAGTCTTGAACAAAATGCATATGATCTTTGTTTGTTTGTTATTAAGCACAAAGCTAGAGAATGGACCATCTGTGCTATGCTCACGAGTATCGAAACCCGTTTTTAAGCGTTATAAGCATTTAGACGTACTGATTATGCATATGATAAACGAATTCTTTCAGAAGGAAATTTCCGATCTGAATTTAATGACAGAATTAAATAAGTACAATTTGAAGAAAGTATAAAAATTTGTCCAGTAACTTAATATTTTAGACCAATTTTCCTTAAGAACAGTATAATCCAGTTAGTTGGATTATCCATCCTTAATATATTTACGTTATTGAATATATTATAAAGATCAAAAGTGTGACACAGCAAGTCCAGATCTTGAATCGTACATTTTATTGTTTACATGCTAAGACAAAGCACCTGATTCTCATAAAACTAAGTAACTACTATTGTTTTTCACACCTGAGTTTGACTTCTATGTAACACTGATTTCGAGCCGCGTTGGATATATTAGGCTTATTTGTCTTTAAGCACAAAGCAACACGATGGACCATCTGTGCTGGGCTCACCGCATGCATCGAAACCCGATTTTTAGCGTTAAAAGTACTAAGACTAACAGGTGTAGGAAAAAGACACGTGCATCTGGCTTGTTTTTATAAAAAAAAACTTAAGCCTATTCCTATTGGTTTTTCAATATTTTACTGGATTTCGGAGTTCAAACCTCATTCATGCAAAACTACCTAGTGTGAACAACTATATAATAATCAGTTTGTTTTAGTGATTTAAATTCCACTAACTTCACGATGTTATTGCTACACGAAAGACCATTTGATTGGACAACTTTTGGGGGCCTACTGTATTATCAGATCAGATAGTCTTACCTCGAAGACCAAAACATTCGAGTTATGTACATCAGGTTAATCAGTACCACCAAGGTTACGCCCCAAACTAGAAAAAAAAGAGGCCTAGCCACGTGACCCTCCCGGCAGCTGTTTAGCCATGTGTCTGCGTTTCTTGGCAACAAGCCTACAGGTCCCATCCCAAAACAAACTTAAAAAAGGATTTACGGCAGTGTGACAAATTCAACTGAGCAGTGGGTGCCAACAAATCAGTCACTGTCTCTCATAGATACTTCCTTATTGACAGTCACTGTCTCTTAGAGATACTTCCTTATTGACAGTCACTG